ATATATGCAAATGTTTTTACTAAAGCTGCTTAAAATTGGTTGGCTGCCCCCTCCTGTTCTTAATGTTGCAGTTGTTTAAAGCAGGTGGGGTTGTCTAAGGGCATCCAACCGGATCTGGTAATAAAATGTACTAAACCTGGTCACACTGTCATGATTTTCTGCTCTTGGGAATTTAAAGCCGCTTATTATTAAACAGTTTCTTTATGCACAAAATTTACTTATGTCAAGCTTTTATGCACTTGTGGGTTCAGCGGAGTGCTGAGGCATTCAAATTCTAAGTTACACTTGTTCTCATTGGTCAATCCAATCTATTTGAGTCGTTGGTAGTATTATATAAACTGTGCTATTTGCAAAGCCTTTTATTTCACACCAAAGCGTTTGCTGTTTACGCACCTTAGTCGGTACAATTTTAGTCAAAATGCTTGTGAGGTTTTCAATTCTTCTTGTAGTTGCGCTTGGCACAGTTTACGCCCAAACATTCAACTGCAGTGGTGATCATAATCCATCAGAATACATTGGTAAACGTCGAGTTCCAATCGATTGCAAAGTTGAACAGCTGGACTGCCCAGCCTCTTGGAAGTCTGGAATACCAAAAGGCAGCGAAACATCGGCGCCAATGATTGACAAGAAATTTCTGAACTGTTATGAAGGTTTTACTCTGTGTGGATACGTCCCGATCGATCCAAAATCTGGTGAAGTAATTGGACAAAGTGGCGTTACGGTTGGTCGTGGTGTTGATCTTGGAAACAAGTCGAGGGCGCCTTTCACGTCGTTGTCAAGCACAATTGTTAACAAACTTGAACCTTACTTTGGTTTGACAGGAAATCTCGCTTCTTGTGCTGCGATTGAACATCCCTTGAACCTAACATTAACGGAGGCAAACAATTTGACAGATGCTGCTACAAACGATGTACTCAATGAAGTTTCAAAAAGATACGACAGCGATAAAGATGGGAATGCGCTGGCGTTTGCATCAGTTCCTCGCGGTATTCGTACAGCCATCGTCAGCGTTTGGTATCAGTTTAATTATCCCCCTGCTTATCCAAAGTTCTGGGGATTTGTGACGAAAAATGATTGGGACAATGCGATAAAAGAAATGAGAAATTTCTACAAGAATCCCAAGGAGCAGGCTAGAGGAGATTTGAAAAGACGAAACGGACATAATTGAAGCGACTCTTTTGAGATGCAACCGCTCTGTTGACGTTGTTTTCTTGATAGACGAGTCCGGCAGTGTTCGAAGGGTAAACTTTCAAGAAAGCCTCGATTTTGTAAAGAGCATGATAAAAGCATTTCCCGATCAGAAACTCAGCGGAAAAGATGGCACCAGATTCGGTTTGTCCACATTCAGTTCCAGCTACAAATCACATTTCTATTTATCAAACTACACAAATCAGTCAGCCTACCTTTCCGCAATTAGTCACGTGTCCTACACAGGTGGAGGTACCTATCTTGGTCGAGCTCTTGAAGAAATCTTAACCGATCAATTCACCGAAGAACGAGGTCTGCGTCCAGAAGTAGATGGCGTACCTCGTGTTTTGATTGTTCTAACGGACGGTAAATCGCAAGACGCTGTTTCAACTCCAGGAAAGAATGTGAGAGATGAAAATATCGTCGTTTATGCGATTGGAGTCGGCAGGTATGATCTTGAACAACTTCAAGACATTGCAACTTCTAAATCACACGTTTACACACTGTCTACTTTTACCGAACTTGAGAAATTAATTTCCACGCTAACGGCGGCAACATGCTATGAACCCCGTTCTGCGTCTCTTAACGAGACAATTATAACAAACGTAGCAAAGGATACGTATCAGTATTTCAGTTATAAGGTGAAGCCATCTTCAAACCTCGAGATCAATGTGGTCGATTTATCTGGCAGCACGATTGTTTATGTCTCTCGCACTAATCCTCACCCTTACGAGTACAACTACGACATTGTCTACGACCTTTCAACCCAAACGAACAAAATCATCGTCATTTCACCCATTATACCTGTACCAAATACAAAGGTGAAACGATCAGCCGGAGACAAGCTCACACGACAGAACTATGTCTCGGTAACTTCCAATATCAACTCGGCTTCGGCTTCGGCTTCGTTCGAGATTGAAGGCAACGAATGTAATCCCTTGAACTGTACGGAGGGAACAAATGAAATGTCCACAACGGAACCTCCTACAACTCAGCTTCCGACATCCTCGGTTCGTGTTGTTGTTGCTACAAAGTTCGTCGTGGTAAGTTTTGCGATGTTGATGATGCTTTTTGGAATATATGACATTTGAACATTGTCTCGTTTGTTTCTTAAGACATGCACAAACAAGCGAGGACCTTTCATTATTTTCATATTTCACAGTTGCAAGCATTATATAATTAATGATCTTTGCATGTACGTATGTCAGGTTTAAGTATGTTCTTACAGTCATGGCCAAACTGTAAGATTATTATATATAGCAACAAGGACATGTAGATTTTTTGCACTCTTATACAGGGTGTATCAATAAAAACGCAACCTCGGAATTTCCTAAGAAACACGTTGCAATTTCTTAAGCATAAAAGATTTTAGACCTTTGGGAATTGAAATCGAATTGCTAATAGATCATATTACTGTTGTTGTGCATTAAATAAATGCATAAATTTGGCTTTATGCACTCGCGTGTGCAGTAATTTTGACAGTTATGCTATTTTAAATTCCCAGGCGCCTAAAATCTTTTGTCTTTAAAACAATGACGATTTCTTGGGAAATTCTGAGGTTGCGCTTTTTTTGATACACCCTGTATAATAGGACACCACATTTAATTAGAGATGTCTATATAGTCTCCGTTTACATTGAATTTCTTAAACAATATCCGTTGCACAAGAATATTTTCAACCTTACTACAAATTAGTTATGTGACCTATTTCCATGCATGCTTGTAATTAATAAACATTCAGTTAAAAATCAGTTAACCCTAAATTGATTTCATTGTTAATATTCAGCATTCATTATTTATTTACAAATTTCGATTTCCAGCTTTTGTTCACAAGCTGCACAATGATTCAATTTCTTGTTGTTGAATTCCATATTTAAGCTAAAAGTTTCTTTAGTTCAGGGAAATGCCTTACATCTTGTGAAAAATGTCATCGTTGTTGTAGGAATAAATTATTTACTGTATGATGTTTCCTACACATGAAAACTACACGATATATATCATACGTTACGTAGATAATAAGCAATTATTGGATGAGGCTGAGCATGATATCAAGAATTATTCAGACCGAGGTCAATGTTATCTGCCGAAGCGAAGCTGAGGCGGATAACATAGACCGAGGTCTGAATAATTCTTGATATCATGCGAAAGCCGAATCCACTAATTGTTTTATTATACATTTAAAAACATGAGAAACGTATAAAACGATTCCTGTTCATGAGGTAGGAAAAGTACAATTTGAATATCAAACACCTTGCACAAAGTCAAAAGTCAGCTAAATATTCTATTTCTACTTCTGTTTACCCCTTTGTGGCTTTTTTCGTGCTTTCACTATCCTTATCTGCCAATAATTTGGAGAGTTCACTTTCATTCAGCGAAGCAAATCTGCTGTAGGCCATTGTTTGTTTGTTTTTTTTCGCGCGCTTATAGGTTCAAGCTTTTGGCCGCGCAAGGGTTTGGGCACGAGAGAGTCCAATAATTTTTTTTTTGGATGCAAGTTCGATCCAAAAAAACAATTATTGGACGCTGATGACGTCATCGGCGGAAAATACGTAATAAATGCCGAATACTGAAAATTAGCCGGTGCTTTCTGACCAATTAGAAACGAGAATACATATTAAATGTATAATAATGTAAGTTATAAAACTCTTTCTGGGCCAAACATCAAACTCTCACCGGCTGCTCTTGCTTTAACTTCATGTCCTCACTCATTTCTTGAATTCTCTCATAAATTTTATGCCGATGATCTTCCACCGTAACTTCGACTTTCTTTAAGAGTTCATCTTCTGTAAGTTGAGCGACATCAGACAGTTCTTCGTAGCCGGCCTTCGTAAAATTACTGGCATACATTTCCATCTTAATGGCCTCTAACCAATCTTTTACTGAAGTAAATGTTGAGTTGCCCAATGGTTCAATCCTAAGAAAATATCTTTATGGTTAAAGACGTTTATTGGAAGTGTAGCATATAAATATCAATCACCATACTTTGCATGATCGTGGGGAGAAGGAAAGCGAAACGTGCCTGACGATTAATGATATACCTAGTACCTTGGCCGTTACGGGATCAGCTTTAAGAGGGGGAATTCTAGAAATTATAAAGTATTCGACAGTTTTTACATTTCACATGAATCGTACCTTCTCACTTTCATATAGTCTTCATTAAGCTTTTCGGGATATTTTATCCATTCATCAATGATTCTCACAATTTCTTTAAATGGTGGTCGTTTCGTTCTGTCTGTCATCCAACATTCTTTCATTAACTCATGCACTGTTTTAGGACACGTCTATAACCAAAAATACTTATATTGTATAATGCATATTTCACAATCACTAACTTTCGGCATGAAAGTATAGGATGAAATGTTCTCGCGAGTGTGAGGTATGTAAGGTAACGAGTATAGATGTAAGATAACGAGTATATACCATTACCATTGGCGGGGGCAATCTATATCCTTGGTTGACCCATATCACAACCTATAAAAACACCGCAAGCCAATAATCCAGTCATATAATGTGCAAAAAAGTGCTTTATATACGAAGAATATATCGCATACTCACTTCTCCGTTGCGCCAATTCCGATAAGGTTTTTCAGCAAACGACATTATTTCCCAAAGTAGAATACCATAACTCCAGATATCACTGGCTGTTGAAAATTTAAGATAAGTAATGGCTTCGGGAGCTGTCCACCGCACAGCAATTTTGCCTCCCTAGAAATATAAACTCTATGTTATAGTGTAGGTTTGCCTTAAATATATTAATCCATCAGTGTTTTGACTGATTTTTTCATTCTTCAGATGGCCTGTTATGCAATGAGCCCGCTGACCTGTGATTCATACTCTGAGTCCTCAGTATTGTCAAGATCCCTGGATAAGCCAAAGTCAGCGACTTTACAAGTAAGATTGTCATTAACTAAAACATTTCTGGCGGCCAAATCCTTAAATAAAGCAACACCAATGTTAGTTTCTTCGTTGATACGAAAAACTGGAATGCGAAAACGATAACATATAAACAAATTATCATTGTTCACGGGGAAAAATAAAGGGTCTAAATGGTATTATATCTGAAAGCGCGGGCCGGGCCTGATAGAGTAGTCGTGTCGCATTCTGTGAGAGCCGGTTCCACCTAAACACCATCAAGACAAGAATAATCTACAATAATACTGTAGGCGTATCGTGGAACTGCCCCCC